TGGAAAAGTTGGCGGTTCATTCCACTGTGGCGAACCCTGATAACAGTCTTTCTCTATTGGTTTGGCTCATTTCTTGAAACAGGAATTACATTCTCAAAACAACATGGACAAACCTCCAAACCACTTGGCAATTGCTCACAATATCTCATTCATTTCAACAAATTGCAAATGTCGAAGTACATCTTTGCAAATGATTAGTGAATAGTGAATAGATCTAGTTGATCTAAACATTGGTGATTCTCAGTTTAATGGTTGTTCGCGCCAAAATATGTCAGCATCCTTTCATTGTATAAGTCATCACATGCACAGTAGTCTGTTCAATTGTCAAAATTTGTCAAGAACATAATACCATGAATATCATGATTACGTGGAACATTTGATACATTTACTACAGCAACTGACAGTCAGGTAAAACTAGAACTTTACTAATGAAGGAGGAATTTCACACATCTCAGATGACCATACAAGCACTGAAGGCTGCATATAATTTTCATTGTTTTTTGTTTGTGTGTTTATGTTATTGTATATTTAGTTTTAGTCTGATATATGGAAATTAATTTGTGTGTGTGATTGATAATGGTTACAATTTCCTTGGGAGCATGAGTGCAATGTGTGATGTCAAACCTTGAGGCTACTCTTACTAAAATCCATTTTATAAATAATAAAAACAATCTTCTAAATTTATTTTATTTCGTTTTATACACAATAGCATTGTCAAAAAAAAAAAAAAAAAGAAAAACAGTAGAGTAACCATTTTCAAAAACTGGGCTAAGACTGAAAGGTGGACATGAGGGATATTTCAATGGTCCTCTGCGATAGTGACAAAATAGCTAAACATTTTGACTTTTAGTGATTACACAATGCCAAAGGTTTTTTTTTATTGGCACTGACTGCTTAAACGTGAAAGAAATTTAGTTTTGACACACAAGTGACAAAACAATCTTATAGTGTTTAGAATGTAATTCCTGTTTTAAGAAAGGAGTCAAACCAAATGAGAAAAATTGTAATAAAGGAACTAAGCAGAAAAGAAAATCAATGAATGAATGTGCAAATGTTTTGAGTTGTGAAAAAAAATACTGATTTTTAACTACCGTTGTGAAACCGAAGTATTAAATCTTTAATAAAATCAAGAAAAAATGCAATACACTCTGTTTTATAATCCTGCAGATATTAAAAGCATGTTTAATGGACTGAGGCGCAGACACGTAGGTGTGAACTATGAGCTAAGCATGTATGTCATGTACAGCTTTATCTCATTGGTGAGACAGCTGCTTGCTATTGTTTGGATTATCCTTCATGCACCTTTCATTTCGTTGAACTGGGGCGTTATTCTGAAGACTCTGGGTGTATAAGGACAAATAGATCAATTTAATTAAGGCTAGAGATGTGTCCCAGATGGCCCAACAAAAGCTTTCATCAATACACGATGTTATCTGATGGACAACGCCTTGAATGCAGACCAGCTGATGAAAGGATGCCTATATTTCAAGGCCTGGACACAGCGAACCACCAGGACAGATATAAGGGATTGGTCACATTTTGACCTTCAATAGTTTAGTGAAGTACACTCGGTGGCCACTTTATTAGGTACAGCTTATTAGTACTGCGTTAGACCCCCTTTTGCCTTCAGAACTGCCCTAATACTTTGTCATAGATTTAACAAGGTAATGGAAATATTTTTCAGAGATTTTGGTCCATATTGACATGATAGCATCACTGCAGTTGCTGCAGATATGTTGGCTGCATGTCCATGATGCGAATCTCTCCTTCCACTACATCCCAAAGGTGCTCTATTGGATTGAGTTCTGGTGACTGTGGAGGCCATGTGAGTACAATGAACTCATTGTCATGTTCAAGAGATCAGTCTGATATGATTCACGCTTTAGGACAAGGCACGTTATAAAGATCAGTAGTTTCTGAAATTTCCACAAACATGCCACGTTCAAAGTCACTTAAATCACCTTTCTTTCCCATTCTAAAGTGCATCAGTTTGGACATTTTTTGTTGTTGAGTATAGGGCCCTGAGAAGAATGTATCAAGGTCTTAGAAGCCACCCTGTGGTACAGGCCAGTTTTGATTTTTAGTTTGTGTTTGACATCATGCCAGCTTTTTTGACTAGGTTTTTTTCAAATGACGTCATTAATGACGCACAAGGTTCAGATGGAGGGCAGGAAGTGGTTCTTCTGCATTGCTATCAGAACATCAAAATACTTCTGTTTTATGTTGTTTATAATTGTTTACAAATTCTTTAAAATAAGAAATGCTTTATTTTAAACTTTCAAACGTTAAAGGGAAGAAAGTTCAAGTAACTGGCTGAAAAACAGAAGAAAAGGCGGCATGTAATAAACATTCACTCAACACATTCATGTGTACAAACTTTTTAAAATGCGATAATTCGTTTGACATTACCAATAAAGATTCTATACAAGCCTAGCTATGTGTGTTAATGTGTTATATAAAAATTAGAAACAAGCACCACTACAACACTACACATACAAAATCCAGGTGAATGTAAATAATGTGCCCTGCCATGTAATCGCTATAATGAAATCTCGGTCTCGTTTTGCAAAAATCCAAGTCTTTACTGTTGTTTTTGATGGATTAAACAACCGTAAAGCCTGATTTATACTTCTGCGTCAAGTGACCGGCGTAACCCACGGCGCATGCAACGCGCGTGGCTGTGCATTTATACTTCTGCGCGCTGTCTCTGTCGGTCTGCATTTACACGTCCGAAATGCTAGTTGGCAGTGAGGTGTTAATGTTCCTTTGTGTCGAGTTTCTTCTCTGCTTTTTTGCTTTTCCTGAACACTTCCGGGATGTACAAGTGGCTCAAACTCGCTCATTTTGAGGCAGGAACCGGCGGACGTGCAACAACTTTTAACTATGAGGTAAACACAAAACAAAACTTTCCATCCGGAGCTCCTTCACAGGACTCCACACTTGTAAACAATCGCTCGCGCCATTCGCGCGGCTCTCGGTCCCGCCCAGACTCGTCAGTGCTACCAAGCCGACCAATCACAGAGCTTACGCTACGCATCGTTGCGACGTGTAGTTACATTTTTTGAAAGGTGCACGTCAGTGACGGTGATGGCCACGGCGAAGGGCTATGCGTCAGCGCCGTAGCATACGCCGGTGTTTGACGCAGAAGTATAAATCAGCCTTAACGGTGACGTCTACATGTGCAGCAGTGATGAATATTTGTTGGTGGTAATTTCATTGACTGAACAAAAAAGAAATACAACCCTTGAGACAAAAATAGATCGTTTATTGAATTATTGATTGATTGATTATTGAAGCACTTTTTCCCATTACAATAATAAATAATTAATAATGTAGAGTATGTAGTTTTGTATGCTTTAATCTGTTATTTTGTGATGTCTGGAAGATATATCTGCTTAGGGAACAACTAGTAATTTATAATAAACATGTTTGTAAACCACATAGATAAGTGTATAATGTGTATATTTAAACTTTGAAACTGTAATAAATACTTTAACGTTAGTGTAAACTGTGGGGCATTGTGATTATAGCGTAGAAAACTGATGCCAATTGAATAATTTGTTTATTAGTACAGTTGTGTTCTACCACAGCAACAATATAATACTACGACAGTTTAATTTAAGTAATTATATATAGTATGCTTCCAAACACTATAGTATTTACTATAGTATTTGTCATTTAACGTAATAGTTTATACAGTACAGTATATACCGCTTCCATGACAAGCAAATGTATTTTAGTTCAGTAGAAAATTCTGCCCTCTTCATAATATAAGGATCATACCAACATATATGCTTATTTTCTATTTATATCTCCTTTGAAATATGGTGTAATTCACAAAAATACAGACTTTCCACTATGTCTCCCATTTAGTTTTTTACTTCCTGCCCTCCACCTGAGTTTCTTGTGTCACCAAAACCACATGATTAAAAACAACCTATTGTCTTGGCAAGAAAATATTTATTGCACTATATTTATTTAATATGCAAGATAGTTTCTTGTACGGAGATCCCATTCTCTTTGCTATTTGTTATTAATGTATGCACAAATTACTGGTTTTAAGTCCAAAGGAGATACTGGACAAATTATGAGGTCAATATTGCTCTGCTTTTGCAGCTTCCTGATTTCATTTGATTACACACAGGGCCAGGCACCCAGCAAAACCAAAAATTCCAGACGTTTGTGAAAAATTACAAGTGCTGGATGATCATTTCTAATAGAAACCATTGCTTGAAAACAGAACTTTGAGTCTGTAGTTTAAAGAAACTTTCTTTGTTTTGCAGACTTTATGAAGTCTACAGGCAAAATAATAGTATAATAATATTTGCTTCTGCTGTAAAAATGGAGATAAAATTTGGTAATGATATTCCTCTTTTCTTGAGGTTGACGACAAATGCTGATGATACAAAATTGGACCTTCACATTTACTCGTGAAAGAAAAGAAAGAAAAGAAAGAAAAGAAGATGTAAAAAAAGATGTTATTGAAAATCATTTGAGTGAGTTTCAGATTTTGTATATTTTGTTATGTGGTACATTTTAAAAATATATACATGAATATTAAGTTTTACATTATTAATGTTATTGCAATGCTGATGATTTACTGTTTACTGATCAGTTTAACAACTTCAGAGGCTTGCACTCAACAAAAATTAGTTTTAAAGGGATAGTTCACCTCTATATGAAGATATCCTTACCATATACACACACTCAAGTGGTTCTAAATGTTTATAAATTTCTTAATTCTGTTGAACACAAAGAAAGATATAATAAAGGATGTTGGAAAAAAGCAGCCCTTGATATCTATAGTGGGAACAAAAAATAGTCATGACAGCTTATTTCCAACATTTTTCAGTATTTCTACCTTTGTGTTCAACAGAAGAAACTCAAATATGTTTTGTAAAAGTTGAGCATAAGTAAATGATAACAGAATTCTTACTTTGGAGGGCAACTATCTCTTCAAGTTGCATTAGCAATTCTGTTAATGGATTAAGCAGACTTACCTATGTGCGACGACGAGAGTGGTGTGGTTGGCACACACCTTAGCAAGAGAAGCCTGAATGTTGCGCTCTGTTTGACTGTCTAAAGCAGATGTGGCCTGAAAGTAAAATTCCAGTTGCAGGCTTTAATACATACCAACATCATAAATTATCAACTTTTAGGAAAACATTTGCTTACTTCATCAAGCAAAATAATTCGTGGCGATTTCAGGATTGTGCGGGCAATCGCCACTCTCTGTTTCTCTCCCCCACTCAACTTCAGACCCCTCTCACCCACCTCTGTATCATATCCTGCAATAATGATACAGAGACAAATGTCACCACATGTTATTGTCATACTACATGTATTGTTCCTTCAAAACTTTGATTAATCATTACCTACTGTTCAAAATATATACAGTTGAAGTCAGAATTATTAGCCCCCCTTTGGATTTATTTATTTTTTAATATTTTACATAAAATTATACTTTAACAGAGCAAGGAAATTTTCACAGTATGTCTGATAATATTTTTTCTTCTTTAATATTATATAATATTTCTTCAGTTGAGAAGGTCTTATTTGTTTTAATTTGGCTAGAATAGAAGCAGTTTTTAATTTTTTAAAAAACATTTTAAGGTCAAAATTATTAGCCCCTTTAAGCTATATATATATATATATATATATATATATATATATATATATATATATATATATATATAACCATCACTACACAATAACTTGCCTAATTACCCTAGCCTGCCTAGTTCACCTAATTAACCTAGTTAAGCCTTTAAACGTCACTTTAAGCTGTATAGAAGTGTCTTGAAAACTATCTAGTAAAATATTATGTACTGGCATCAAGGCAAAGATAAAATAAATGTAAAAAATCTTCTCTGTTAAACAGAAAATTCTAATAATTATGACTTCAACTTTATGTAGTTTATGTATATATACACACACACACACACACATTTTTGTGCATCTCCTTACTTCCGGGTGCAGCGCAGCTCGTGTATTTTGGGAAATTGTCTACCCCTTCCCCATAGCCCTACGCCTTCAAGTTGAAGAGAATTGGGACACCCTAACCCCTTCAAGTGAACGTGCAAAACGAGGGGTAAGGGTGAGGGCTAAGGGGTAGAATTGATATTGGGCCTAAATGTAGCCTCAGTTTCATGTCCTTGTTAGTAAACAATAACTGTAAGAAAGTGATGACTTGCAGTTGATGATCACATAGTTTGCCATTGTTTTGTGTTTATTTGCTGTTGCCTTTAATCTACTGTACACCACCCTAAACAAGTACTATGCACATGCATGTCATCATTGGTTTATAAGGCTCTTAAATTGACATGACAATGGTGGCATTTTCCAAAACGTCCACCTTAAAACCCATATTCAGATTTCCTGCTTGTATTATCAGTAATACTTTGTTGTCATGTACAGTTGAAGACAGAATTATAAGCCCACTTGTTTATTTTTTACCCCATTTTCTGTTTAATGGAGAGATTTTTTTAAACAAATTTCTCAATATAATAGGTTTAGTAACTTATTTTTAGTAACTGATTTATTTTATCGTTGCCATGATGATAGCACATGATTTTACTGTTTAAACTGATTTTAGCAGTTTAAAAACTGCTTTTATTCTAGCCGTGATTAAACAATTAAGACTTTCTCCAGAAGAAAACATATCAGACATAGGCTAAAAAATGTCATGTTCTGTTGAAAGGGGGCTAATAATTCTGACTTCAACTGTATATGAACAGGCAATACACATAAAAAGTCTCCCATTTTTGGATAAAAATGTAGTCAAGTAAACAGTCCCAAAATCTAGTTATGAAAATTCAGCAGTCCTATACCGTCTGGAAGGGATAATATCTTGTCATGGATATCAGCAGCCACTGCAGCCTCCTCTACTTCTTGATCACTTGCAGAGATGCGTCCATAGCGAATGTTTTCACGGATGTTGTCATTGAACAGAACTGTGTCCTGAGGAACTACACCAATGTAGGATCGCAGGGAGTTCTGCCTCACCTGTACGCATGAAAATAAACAAGAAAGGTATACAAACCAGTTACAATCTGTAATGTATGTTTTATTCACAAATGGGTAGGACTTTACAGACTTTTTACATAATCTTAAATTTACTAGGTACAGTGATATACCTAAAGCTACCTTTAAGCCATGTAGTTACTTTACATAATCCAACACATTCCTAGATCAAAGCCTCTAAGTTCATGTTAAGGTACTGTTAAAAAAAATAAAAATAAAAATAAAGAGGGGGGGTCAACTTGCACTTGATTGAGACATTTTGGTTAGTAATTATGCCATGTACTATTCTTTAACTTCACACAAAGTATATCTATCTCTGCTTAGCGCCACAATAAAACAACAGGTGAACCGTGGACAGGTGGGCATCGAACTTTAAAGTATTTCACCACCTGAGGGTTTGGAGGTCTCCACTGCCTTTGAAAGCCAAGGAGCCAGGTGCTGATGGGCTATGAAATGGTCCCAAGCTCTGAAGATCTGAAACACCAATTATAACGCAGGGTGACAATCTTCACATGCTGCCTGTTATTGGGAGGGGTGCGGCGATAGACCCCTGCCGAGATCCAAAGCCTGGCAAACTCTGTGAGGCAGTGCCAGCTCACATCAAGGGTTTCGAACAGCATAAAGAGAATCAGAGACAAGACAAAGTAGGTCTGGAATGGGCACAAATTTTAAGGCCGCGCTAAGCTGCCCCCCTTTTAGCAATATATCAAGAGTCCCGCTGCAGAGACGCTCTAACACCATTTCCATCTGGAGCCATCTGAAATACCAGTCTGGTATGTTTCTGCTTTAGTCATAAAAATACATATTAAGTTCAGTTTGTTTTGGCAGAGGCAAGAAACAAACCAATGTTTGCTCTTGAGCTTTTTGTATCCTAACAAATTTACAACCATAACGTGCAACATGAGCTGGGTTTCCATCCTAATGTGAAGCACATTTTTTCAAAGTTTGCAAAAAAAGAAAAAATCCCAAATGTGAATTAGGTGCATTTCCATCAAGTTGTTAGAGCAGCTGACTGTAGTATTGGTAACCTAGATGCAACAGTAGAAAAGGAAAGCATAATGGAGTTATGTGGATGTAATGTTCAGCAAATGTGTTTCCATCTCCCATTCTTCACATCAAGGTTGTTTTTTTTGTACAAGCCCAAAGCCACCACAAGCCCTACAGCCTGGATCAATGTTTAAAATATCTTACAGACCATTGCAGACCATTCTTAGTCATTTCAAGTGGTAGAATTTGTAAAAAGTTAAGACAAACAGAATGACATGAAATAGGCCAGGAAATAGGGTGTTTGACCATAATTATTATAAAGACTAATCATTATTTTATGCCTCTTATCTGAAGACCAGCAATGTGTAGACTAAAGGTTATTGCACACTGAATCGGAAAGTTTTGTCAGTAATTTTCACATGTTAAAAAAATTAACTCGACCTCACGGTGTGGGAATTGTATTGACAAACTGCTTCCGAAACTTTTCTGTCATAATTTTTCGAAAATTTTCCCACTTTTCGAATTTAAAAAAAAGCCCTTTCAAATGTGTTTTGACAGTTCAGAGCCACTGTACAAGTGAAAAGCTACCTGTAAATACAGAATTCCTATGTTGAGCTACAGATAACAAACAAATAAAGACAGAATGTGGGGGACAGTTAAGATATGTTGGATTCAGTGAATTTCAGTGATATTTGCCATGCTGCGGTTTGGTTCGTGTCCATGCTATATAATAGAAAGCTTGGTCCACTTTCGGTCTATTGCTTCAACACGCCAACGCGGCACCCATCTATTATAATGTCTATAGGTGCTGCCAGTCTCTGCTCAGGATTTGTTTGGTAAAGTATCACACGTAATGTATAAAAATTCCACTGATTTTCTGAAATAAACTTCTGGATAATCCAGCATAGCCTTTTGATAATGAGCTGAACTCTCCTTCCTCTCTATGCAGTATTGGATAAACAAAATATGTATCGTCTATAACTTTCTACTTTGGAGAAAAGAGGAGAACACATCACTGCTTAAACGGACTCTGAAATGTTTGTTTTTTCATAATAAATTAATTTGCATCGGGCTCAGTGTGCAAGGTTTCTTGATGTGACGAATTTTTTTACAAACGAATATGAAAAAAAACAGTCCACACAAATCGATATTCAATTAAATGAGATTATCCAAACAGATTTGAACTTGTGACAATGACCGTCTCAGACTGATAGTGAGGGCAAGAACTTATGATAACATCTAACATGCTTTCTGTGCTCTAATGGTCCACAAGAGCCATAAACATAACAGCCCACAAGATCCAAATATAAGAGAATTTCCAATGATGTAGAGTAACGAACTACAAATACTCCAATTACTGTAATTGAGTAGTTTTTCTACGAAATTGTAATTTAGTAAGTAGTTTTAAAAATATGTACTTTTACTCCCCCTTAGAACGAAAGAAGAATGAAAGGAAGGGCGGAATGAAGAAAGGGGCGAACAAGGAATGAAAGGAAGGATTCAAGGGAGAACTGAACAAAAGAAGCAAGGAAGAGACGAACGAACAAATGAATGAATGAATGAACGAATGAATGAATGAACAAAGGACCGAATGAAGGAAGGAATGACCGAACTAATGAAGGAAGGAAGGACCAAATGAATGAAGAAAGTATTCAAGGAAGGACTTAACAAACTAAGGAAGGAACAAAGGAACAAATGAATGAACAAATGACCAAACGAAGGAACAAAATAATGAGTGAACAAACGAAGAGAGGAACAAAGGAAAAAATTAAGGAAAAAATTAACAAACGAATGTATTAAGGAAGGACAGAACAAACAAACAATGGAAGGAACGAATGAATAATGGAAGGTAACTGAATGCACTAAAGAATGTTACGTTTACACATCCTTCAAAAACTGCACGTAAACGCATCAACCGATCACAGTATAATACTCTTTACTCACTACTGTTGAGTACTTTTGAAAGGTCAACTTTTTACTCATCCTTTGAGTAATATTTACAAAAGATACTTTTACTCTACTTGCACTACAGAGGAATGAGCAATTTTAGAAGATTTTTAGTTATTAAAATTTACAGAAGAGACCAACTACACAACTACAAACAAACAAACAAAAAACAAACAAACAAACAAACAAACAAACAAACAAACACATTTAAAATTAGAATCATTGGAATTTGGGGTGTGTGAATTGGGGCAAAAAAAAAAAATAAATCTGACTGATATTAAGATTACAATTTCTGATTTAGCAAAACCTATGTATGTCCCACATGGGCAAACCCAGGTGGGTTTAATGTGAGCAACACATAAGCTTCAGAGTAGGTAAACACACAGAGCATAATTAATTCTACAATGCAGATGACGTGGGCAACCAAGGTAGGCTCAAAATAGACAACACACAGAAGTCGCACATGGGTTAAACACAGGTTCGACATGGGCAAATGCAATCAATCCCATATAAGTCCCACATGGGAAAACCCAGGTTAGATCAAACTCAGGTGGGCTCAATCATGGCAAAACACATTGCTTCAATGTGAGTAAACACATAAGCAGCCTAATTGGTTCTACCATGTAGATCCCATGTGTGCTCAATATGGATCCATCATTATAGTCCCAGAAGGGTCAAACACAGGTTAGCCATGGGAAAATGCAGATAATCCCATATAGGTTGTACATGGGCAAACCCGTGTGAGATTAATATGGGCAATACATATGGCTTAAGAGTGAATATACACATTGAGCCTAATTGGTTCCATAATGTACATCCCATGTAAGCTCAACACACAAGGGTCTCACATGGGTTGAACACAGGTTAGACATGGGAAAACCAAATCAATCCCCTGTAGGCAGCACATGGGCAAACCCAAACAGGTCCCACATTGGCAAACACATGTAGATTTCACATGGGCAAACTCATGTAGCTTCCATATGGGTGAACACATGTAGGTCTTACATAGACAAACCAAGGTGGCTCAATATAGGCAACACATATCATATGAATGGGTAAACGCATAGGGGCCTAATTTGTTGTAAAATGTAGATCCCATGTGGGAAACCAAGGTAGGCTCAATGTGGGCAACACACAAGGGTCCCAACATGGGTTGAACACAGTTTAGACATGGGCTAACACAATCAAACCCAGAATGGTCCAACGTGTGCACAACCAAATAGGCACAACATGGAGAAACTCCCTTAGGTCCCACATTCGCAAGCCCACAGGTCTCTAAAAGGAAAACCCATGCAAGTCTCACATGAGTAAACCCACATAGGTCCCACGTAGGTCTGAAGGTCTGCTTAGTATTGGCAACACGTATGACTTTAGAGTGAGTAGACACACATAGGGCTTAATTGGTGAAATTCAAGAAATTCTACCTAATTCTAAAATTCAAGCACACTCAATCACTATAACGTGATGCAACATTTTGATAAATGGATGAATAAATTAGCCCAATGACCTGTTGACTATATTTTGTGTCTACATAGTTTTCAACTCTGGTACATACAGTTTGTTTTCCTCTGCACTCAGCTCAAGAAACTGACCCAACGAATCTCACTGACGTCCAAACAGAATTACAATAGCTGCAGTAAGAAAAGCAGACTGTAATGTTACCCACAACAAGGAATCTCAAATTATTGTTAGATCACATTAAAGAAAAGCCCCCATTCTGAAAGCACTGATAATAACAGAGGCAAGCGTGTGGGGCTCTGGCTGTTCAGTCGACCATTAATCCATGTGGCGAGTGGAACCAGCCTCAGTGTTTTCACTTCAAACGCCTGACGAATTAGATCCCCTTTGAAGTTAGCTTTTTTGTTTTTTTCTTTTGTTTATTTTTTGCCTGTTTTCTAGTTCGCTTAATTCACCATCTTTCCATTCTTTCTACCCATTCATTTGGCTCTTAAAAAAGTCAATGTCCTTAATTTATGAACTAATTAACATCAGACTGGGCTGGGTGAGAGAGGGCTTACTGCAGCCATGTGAAACACAAATGGCTTCCC